TGTCATGCTGATTAGGTTTGCCTGCGCACCTGTATCAATCCTTAGTGCCACCAAAGCTCCTTGTATTGGGAGTGAAACAATCCATGTCAACAACGTTGATTGGCTCCGTATATATGAATGTAAATCGCATTATTGGCTGGACTATGGGATAAGGTGGCATCGTTCTAATCCCATACGGGCGCAGACAGTCACTCACTGACTAACACTGCAAAACAGAATTGTTAAAGTATTAATTTTAATTTCAATGCAGGTTAGATTTATTTTGTGCGCAACACAGATTTTCTGTGCGCAGAGACCGTGGCAGCAGTGCGCAATTGCGCACGTGCACAGCTTAGAGGGAACATTGCTGGGCAGTATTTACTTTTAAGGGAATAGTACTGCATTATATTTTAATAGTATTGTAAACTTTATGTAGGAGTAGATCATGGAAATAGGTATTGATTTGTAAATAACTGGACACGAACAACCTGTGCATACTATATCATATTATACTACGGGATATTTCTAGATAACTAGACAGCTCAGTCTCTTTCCTTTGGCAATACTCTCTTATAAATATCTAACATGTTTTACGGTCAACTTGTTAGAAAGGCAGATGTGAAAATTAAAAGTGAGATCAGAGGTCAAACGTGACGTGATATTTGGATGCAAGCTGTGTTTAGTCATATTTAGAATCCCCATATTCTTTCCCCCCATATGTTTAAATGTGCAGATGTTTTTATTTAAGGTTATATTGTTTGGATATAAAGTGAGTCCTTATATCGTTGTACAAGAGATTATGTTTTCTATAGATTTGATTTTGTTAATATCCATGTGCTCTATATATGCAAGTGCATTTTATTAATATTGCACATTTATAACCAAAGTGCTTTAAATTAAAATAAAACGGATTAAACAAATTCCTTTCTTCAAAGATATGGGGGTAAGCCTAGCTGTATATATTGAACTGATAATATACAAAGCATTTTATTTTATACTCTATCAGTGTGATCTTCCTTCATCAAGGGATTATTACAGTAGGTACAGTTTTACAGTTGTTACAGCATTCAGCATCAAAGCTGTTGGAACAGTGAAGCTGTGCAGCTCGGTACATCCTGATCAGAAAGTGTGCTCCTATTAAAAAAGAAAACTGGAATGCAGCTCTTCATCTCCAGGCTCGGTGCTTGAACCATGCCTCCTTGCTCCTTTTGTTTTGCCGTGTTACACAATGATTAAAAAAAGCTATAAAAGCACACAGAGTCTGTTCTTAATGTCACGTATTCAAATTACTGTACGACATTTATGGGGAAAAAAAAGGGGTCACCTATTTCACAATGCACTAATGTGTATGCTGCCATGGAAACAGTTCTTGCTCTCGCTCAAGATTTCAGCATGATTTTTAATCAGATGTGATGTGGTGCAGAGCTGCCTGAGAGGAATCATGTCCTAGGATTACCGTCTCTGAGTGCACAGATGATGTCGGCGTCCTTGGGTTATCGCTTTATAGTCAGGTGACCAATTATAGACAAATCTTCAAAATAAAGTGTTTTACTAAGGAGTTGGGCCACTGTGGCCACATGTTTTCCAAATGATATTCCATTATTGGATGTTATCTGACCAATCAGTCCAAATTCTCCAGTAGCTCTTCACTTGGGTTGAGATCTGGCCGTAGCATATGATTCAACTCATTTTCATCTTCGAGTGAACCTTTCAGGGCATCAGGGCAGACAAAGGGGGTGATTCAGAAGAGTGAATGTATTGATTCAGAGTGATCCTTCTTTCTAAGGTCAGGGCTTTTAAAGTGTGGCTCTTGGTAACATTTTATGCAGCCCACGAACATGATGAGGATAAGAATGCACTAATGCACATTTCATTCATCCGAGTTCATGGCAGACTCTGACAGAACAGGAGAAAACAAGTATTTCTCTTCAACTTCTTCTGCTGTAGTCATCATAGCTCACAAACCTTTCTAACACTGACAAATCCAGCAGGTACCAAGGAACACAACAGTCTCAGAAGAGGTTATAAAAACATTAACACCATAAACCACTATCAACTTACCAGGCAAAAAGCCTGCTACAGTCACACTGTAGCGGAAACACTGATTGGAGACTGTGCCATAATCACGATTATTGCAATAGTTGCAACGAACTTGCGATCTTGTTCCTTTAAAGATGGGAAACAACAGTACTCGCAGTCAGTTTCCATTTTCAAAGTGACTTCTTTTTTTGCAAGAGCCAGTCTGCAATCAGTTTGTGATTGATTGAGGTGAAGTTGGCATTGGCATAGAGTCTGTGTGGTTAATGGGCGATTAACTGTCATAAAATGGTAAAAATTGCAAGTCTGCTGTCATCTGTTGTAAATCTGTTGCAACAGATGACAGCAAGATGCACAGAAATTCACATTAACTGCTCGCATTTAGAGTTCAGCCAGAGCCTCATACACACAGAAATTCCTGTTCAGATGGTGACATGGTTACTGCAGGATGGAGATTTAACTGCAAAATGAAATAGGAAATAAACAACCTTGATTTCACATGGGAACATAACCAGAATATAACCAGTGTAGGCCCCTGTTACAAGGAGACATGCTGCAGATGTGTTGCGTTCGTCAGTGCAGACTGACTCAGACTGATTGCAATGTGCCGGCAGTTTGAATTTGTTTATAAATGACATGTCGGTTGCTTGCAAACCAGTTGGTTATCCAATCTGTCTGAGAGTTCAGTCAGTCTGAGTTGGACTGTGATTGTTTGGAGAAAGGTTGCCTCCCATCAGGTGAAATGTGCAGTCGCCTCATGATGGAAACTGATTGATACTGTTGCATGTTTAAACACTTGGTGACCAGTTGGTAGCTGCAACTACTTGCAGTCGGTTATTTTATATATGATATTTATATACTTATTTTTTATTTACTAGTTGCAAGGAGGTTGCCTTCCTTCTTGTACTTTAGTGTGACTAAATACGAAATCCCTAAATCTGCACTAAGTTAAATGCTTTTGCCAGAGGTCCCTTCCTTCCTGTTAAAAGAGAGTTTTCATTCCCATTTGCGCCATGTGGTTGCTCATAAAAGGTTGTTTGACAGTTAGGGTTTCTCTGTATTATTGTAGGATCTTTAACTTGCAATATAAAGTATCTCAAGGTGATTGTTGTTGTGATTTGAAATATTAGAGAACCACATGACCTGTGAATGACCTGAAACTACCTACATTTAGTCAGTTTCTTGTCTCCATGCTTGTGCACTGTAGGACTATGAGTAATCAGCATGACAAGTACAAGTGTGGAGGCACTAACTGGTTGGCATCTTGTTATACTGTCAAGGGTGTCTCCACCTCTCTATATGGCCTGAGAAAGGTCGCCCTCATCTTCCTAGGAGACAGGTTTTAGAGTGACAGGGGTATTTTAGGACTGGTGGTGAGAGAAGGGATGGTTTATCTGCTCACTCTGTTGTTCTTTCCAGGCTGACTGTAATATAATTTTCACAAAGAATGAGAGGAATATACAGCAGCTTTAATCTGACTGTGATTCTTTATTATGTTTTCGGTTTGTAACAGAGAGCAGAAGAGGTAGAAATAGACAAATGCTGACGTTTGGCTCGAATTTAAGTCACCCAAATTGAGTTATACCTCCCGATGAATGCATTTGATTAAACCCATTTCTTGGAGATGTGCTCCTGCTCTGCCTTCACTGCAGTCTGTCCAGGAATGAAAGGCACGGATGATGCTCGCCTGTTTCCTCCGCGGTCCATTTTCACTGGCAGTGGCCCACAAACAAGCTGTGTGAGTGAAGCAGAGAAAAAGAGAGGGAGCAGAGAGGGAGGGAGACTGTCTGTGTTTGCGCACATTTTCCCTCTGTGGCACGTCGCCGGTTTGGTACACAGAGTTCCACCTGGCATGGCTTCACACACGCACACTTCAGTGCACATGCAGCTTTGAGAACGGTGTGAAAAAGCGACAAGGAAGATTTTGCGCTGGCAAGCACAGAGAGTCAGATTGCACACTTACAAGCAAATGCATTTTAAAAACCTGCTCTCAGAGCTGCAACCAAATATTTTAGATTACAGGGTTCTCTCTGCAGTGAGTACAGTCGATAGATAGAAGTATTGATTGCTCAGTCAGTCAACCGCACACAATTACCTTTAATCAGAAAACCACTTTTGTTAATCATTCTAGTCATGATTGTATTCTGTTTGACAAAAATCAGAAGTAACGGAGCCTGTTTGAGATACGTTTAGAAAACCTTCCCCAGATAACTGCAAAATAGGCGGCGGTTTCATTTTCTATGATTTCATTCCACTTCCAGCGAGATTTTTTTTAAGCAGGCTTCTGTACTCGATTTATTTTTGTAGCAGTTCTAATTTACTGTGACAGCTGTTTGTTAGTAATACATACAGTATCTTGTCCTTCAATTAAATGTCTTGTTGTACTTTGTGTTTTGGTAAAATATGTATGCTCGCATTTCTCCATCATAAAAAAAAAGATCAGCCTGTAAAATAATGTTTGAGAATGATGGGGAAACAGGACATTTTATTAATAACACGTTTGATCCGACTCTTTGTTTTCTTTGTGTTTCTCTCTCTCTCTCCAGAGAAACTCGAGCATCTCTGGGAGCACGAGGGGAATGTACCAAGTGTCAGAGCGACGTTCCTCTCCCAGCACAGGGTGGGTCAGCATCCATTCATAGTACCATTGTACCATGAAGGGCTTTATGAAACACATGTTGATGTACATTGGAAACGGGATGCAAAAGCAGGATGCTGAGGAAGGCAATACATCCAAAAAGCAAGCCTTAATTTTTTGACCCCCGAATGTTACAATGTGTGACTGCTGGGGAAAAAACCCTCAAAAAACAGCAATGTGCACTTTCACTAAATGCATTTTCAATAACATACTGACCGCTCGGGTTCTGATGGTAAATAATGTCTTGTGTTCTTCTACACAGTGTTACACGCAGATGTCAAATGTCCAGATGTTTATTCTCTGTATAAATCCTGCACTCCACCCGAGCCTTAATCCTGAGGACCACACAAACTTAAGAGTTTAACCTTTTATCAAAAACACATTTTTCCCCTTTCTCTCATTTATTCATTTTATGCCATGATTTTGGTTTAAATTAATGATACTTCTTATTTAGGATTTCTATGGCTGAAGTAAAATTCCCCGCCATCCATCACTTATGACTCACAGCTAACCCGAAATAACAAATGATTTTGTAATCATTCTAAAGGCTCGCAATACAACAATAGATGTTACTCAGGTGGTGCATCACCATGAATTATTAGTTAAAATGATCTTCTCTGCTTTCAGAAAGGATGGTCCAGTGCATCCTCTGCTAAAAGAGCTAATAAAGGAATCAGTGGCGCTCCTTTCCTTTGTGTTTGGAAAATCTCAATGGCTGCCACTTCCAGGTCACTTCACTCAGAAACCTTCCTAAATTAAGAATAAAAATTCAAACAGTCAAGTCAGGTAACCAGATGGATGCAAGGAAAAGTGATTTGCTGAAATTAAACAGGAAGTGGACAAAAACAGATGAAGACAAAGACAAGGAAATAGTGGAAAAATATAAACATTATAACAATAAAGAAAGGAAATCATTAACATCAAAACAGGAACCACAGCTCAGCAAATACTATACAAGACCCTAAAACCATGATAGCAAATGTAGTCTCTCGTTTAATGGTACTTTTACTGCTGAGTGAAATCGCAGTGATCCATGCTTTAAATTGTCTTATTTAAATTGTTATAATTACTATTATATGTCTCGCACCAGATAATTAGGCAGCTCTGAAATGTGCATATTTTACGTTTTTTTTTTTGGGAGCGTTTTTTCGGTCAAGGTGGAGATTTTATAGTTGGCTTTTAAATGCTTTTAGTTCACTTCATCTTTTGTACCTGCTCAGAGCTTGTGTAGTGAAACACAATCTGTCAGTTACTTGGAAATGGATTCCCAGAGCTTTAACGGCTATCTGCTGTGCTTGCTGGTCTTCGCCTTTTGAGGTTCAACATTGTCAGTATTGTGTATAAATACTTCTATGCCCAGCAATTGTCATAATATTGTTTGAAAAAACAATAGTATAATATTAATATTTTTGTGACTTCTTTTGTTTTTTCTATTTTTTTGTTAATATATAAAAAAATCAAAAGATTACAGTAGAGTGTGTGTGTGTG